ATGTGCGCACATGGAGTGACTGTTTCTCCATCAGTCGACGACTGGAAAAGGTTTTTTGACCTGCATCGCTGTCAGCTTCTTTTGCACATTTCTGATGGTCTGCAAGCTACGGTTGTGTCGTTGAAGGTACCGTCGATAAATTTATCTACTGCGCTTAATATTTTATATTGCAGCACTGGAACTAGCTGCTAGTTCGTTCCAGTTAGAGCCCGCTGGATAGTTTTCGAAAATTGCTTGTAGCCCTAAAGCATTCCATACTTTTCGCTCCGGATTACTTTTATTATTGATGAGGGCGCATCAAACCGTTAGGCATTACTCTGGTCGAAATATTTGATTGCTAATGATAGGTGTGGTAGCTTTGCAATTCGCATTCTTAGCAGACAGAGTAGTAAGTCTTTTCCAGGTAAAAGCTTGCTTCTGCACGGTTTTGTAAATTACTTTTCTGGCGTGCTTTCTTTTCGAACGCACAACAGTTCGCGTTAGGGCTTGTTTCTAATAGCTGCATTAGTAGCGGTGTCGTTGGTTTCTGAGGCATATGTGAAGATTATTCACTTCTTTTTGTTAGTGGAAGGCAGAGGTGGTGAATCTGTAATTCCGATTTCTAAGTGGAAACAGAAGGAATCTGTAACTATGTCTGAAGCCTTATATGAACAGTGCAAAGAGGTTTAGTAGAGCAAAAATTTTTTGATTTTTGGATATGGAAATGATGTGTCAAGGGATCTACAGAAAGCAGATATGGAGGCGGAAAAAGCTTCAGTAAACTTTTCTTTTTTTTTCCACGAAAAATAACGGAGTAGCAGAAACCGTTTGCCTTCTCGGAAACTGTATACATCGTATTGCTACAATAACCATGCAATTTAACAATCGCTCGTAAAAGAGCTCAACGTAGGATTCTTGAATTTTGACGGAGCACTTTTAAGGAATACTGATTTAAACCCGAGGCGGAGAATACCAGGTATCAAAGTAACTGAAGGAGGGACGCACCGCGTGTTGAAACCTTGCTTGTGAAATGCTGTAAGTGGAGTCATGATGGATCTCTGTTTTTCTTTTTATATCGTAAGCTCTTATGAGGCGTTTTAACGAGGATTTTCCTGATGTTATAATTGACCCTGCATTCTTTCATTTTCGGTTCTTCGGATCCTCGTTGAAGAGTACACGAGTCGCTGTTACGATTATTGGGCCTTCGATAAAGTTCGGGAAAGAATTTTGCTTCTGCCCTTTATTTTGTCCACGAATCTGAGAAATGTTCCGGATCTCCGTTGAACCTACCTTTTATGCGTTTTGTAGTATACAACGGCTGCACGAAACGCACGTTGTGCGTATGTGTGTGTAGTCCGTATCCATGTCCGTATGCGTTTTTTCCCGTGTTTTTAACTTGGGAACCACAAAAGCTAGGAAGCTGAAATTTTAGAATGTTTTCTGTTTATGACCCCGTTGACTTAATTTCGGTCTTTAATTACTCTTGGGTCTCACGTGTGGAGACGTGAAAGTCTTGGCGGCAAAATTACTAATTTGGAAATCGCAAGAGTCAAGAAGTTGAAATTTGAGTTAATATTTTAAGCCCATGTGATTTGGTCCCAAGAATTTAAATTCATCCTCCGCTTACTCCTAAGTCTTATATACGAAAATGTATGAATTTTGGGCGGAATTTTCTGTCTCGAGAACCGGCAAGATGGAAGACCGAAAATTTGATATGATGCTTCTAATTCTATTGCTCTGGAACTTCTAATTCACTTTTCATGTACGCTTATGTCTTAGGTAGGGACAAGTGAAATTTTACGAGAGGAATGTTTGATCCAGGAACTAGATAAAGCAGAAAGCTAGAATTGTGAGAGGATGTTTCCTGTTCATGTGTGAACCTAAAATTCAAATCAATACTATCATGAATGCCTAGTTTTTGCGCGTGGCACATGAAATTTCGTATTTTTGCGCATACCAAACTGCAGAGCATTGCATGTTCCCAATAGCAGTTGCTTGCTGAGCAAACTGCTCAAAACGCATGAACATGGTCGCACCGGTCACCTGGTGCGTGCCGCTACTTAATTTTTGTTTGCGTCATTTATTTTATTTTTGGAATATATTTTTGGTTCTCTTACTGTGATCCTAGAAACTTAGCTTTTATAGTACAGCTAATAATTGGCCAACTTTTCCCGCTGTATAGTGGATGTGCAGGTTTATTGGTGCTGTTTCTTCATACCTATCTACATGGGATTCATGGGCTTTTTTCCTCGGTTTCACCTTTGACGTTTTTTTGCACACTATTTGTTTTTGCTCTGGTGTAAGGTATAATAACTCACTGCAAAAAAAAACAGGTGTTGTTTTTGTCGAACTTTGAAAAAAAATTAACAAGTTCGGCATCGAATTAAAAAATTTGACCCCAACTTTTTAAAAAAATTAGCTTTACTATAAATTGCTCCGTATGTACTTGTTTCTTCGCCGCTTTTATGTCTTTTTGTATCTTGGTTTCTGGGACTACGGATACGGGGAAAATAAAAAATAAAGTGGTGCTGAAAACAATTTCTTGTCTTCGTTCAACAACAACTTGTTTGAAATGAGAAAATGCATGAAATGAAAAATGCTTGAGTAAACCACCCAAAGCCCCTTTTCTTTCTTAGACTGATGCTTTTCCTAAAAAACAATTTAACAGATTCTGCAAGCACTTTTTGGTACTTCTGCACTTGTAGTACATTTTATCATGCTCATCTGCTTTCAGGAGCAGATTATTGCAGTTGAGCTGAATCGGGGGCCAAAAGGTTTCGGATTTTCAATTCGTGGTGGGCAAGAATTCGACTCTATGCCACTGTTTGTTTTGCGCATTGCGGAAGATGGGCCCGCAGCCCTGGATGGGCGTTTGCGGGTCGGTGATCAACTGATGGAAATTAATGGGCAGTCAACATGTGACATGACGCATACTTGCGCAATCCAGCTCATCAA